GGCTAGGCAGCATTTATAGCCCATCCCTAATTGTCCAGTGGGCAGTTCAGAGTCAACCACACTGTTGTGGGTCTAGACAAGGACGGCAGTTTCCTTCCTAAAGGACATTAAAGAACTAGACTGATTTTTCTAACAATCGACAATAGATTCATGGTCATCATTAGATTCTTAATTCCAGATATTTTTATTGAATTCAATTCAATTAATGAATTCAATAAAATTTAATTTTTTTTTTTTTTTTACTGAATTCATCTGCTATGCTGGGATTTGAAGCCCGGTCCCCAGAACGTTATCTGGGTCTCTGAATTAACAGTCCAGTGATAATATCACTAGGCCATCACCTCCCCAAAAAACTTGAAATAAAAATGGTGGCTTTAATCACATTCTGCTTCCTTCAGGTTCAGTAATGCTAGGAGGCATCAATGCAAGCAAATGTGGATCATCCACCAAGGACTAAAAACAACAGAATACTGTTCAAATGGTGACATGCATAGAAGAGGAGGGAGATTTTAAAACCATTAACAAGTGCAGAAAATGGGCACTGACAAATGCACAAAATTATCAACAAGCCTAATAAAATGCCAGTTTTATATCTAAAGGATCAGAATACAAGGGGATAGAAGAAATGAGACAACAGAAGAAATTGCAGGGGCCCTGGCTGATTTCTTTGCATCATTGTTAGCCATGAGTGAGGTCCTGGAAGACTGGAGGGTAGCAAATATTGTGCCCTTATTAAAGAAGGTCTGCAAAGAAAAACCTGGAAATTATAGACCAATAAGCCTAACATCTGTGGTAGGTAAGTTACTTGAGAAGATTCTGAAGGATAAGATATACACGCATTTGGAAAAACAGGGTTTGATTCATAGTTGTCAGCATGGCTTCATGCTTGGGAGATCATGCTTCACAAATTTGTTAGAGTCCTTTGATGAAGTGACCAGGAAGGTTGATGAGGGCAAGATGGTAGACATAGTCTATATGGATTTCAGTGAGGCCTTTGATAAGGTTTCACATGGTAGGCTGCTCTGGAAGGTTAGATCACATGGAATCCAGGGAGACCTGGCAAACTGTATACACAATTGACTTGATGGTAGGAAGCAGACAGTAATAGTGGAAGGATGCTAATCAGACTGGAGGCCTGTGATAAATGGTGTGCCTCAGGGGTCGGTGCTGGGCCCATTGCTGTTTGTTATGTATATCAATGATTTGGATGAGAACGTACAAGGCATGATTAGTAAATTTGCAGATGACACTAAAATAGGCGGTATCGAGGAAAGTTATCAGAAATTGCAGCAGGATCTTGATCAACTAGGGAAGTGGGCCAAGAAATGACAAATGGAGTTGCATTTTGGAAAGTCAAGTCAAGGTAGGAGTTTCATGCTTAATGGTAGGGCCTTAAGGAGTCTCATTACACACTGACAACGAGGGACACGAGTTCAACTGGGACAACACATCCATAATCACACAAGCCAAACACAGACACGCCAAGGAATTTCTGGAGGCCTGGTATTCCAACCAGAACTCCATCAAACACATTGAATTAGACACTGTGAACAAACCACTGAGAAACAGAACCGGAAGTTATACCAACCACCCCAGCAAACTGAGGCGTATAAATAACAGGTGGGACAGAACACTGACACTTCACCAGAGGCGCACTGACGATGTTACCTGGCAGGGTGATGAAACATTTGCAACCAAACCCACCAGTTGGTGAGCATGCCTACAACGTTAAGGAGTGTAGTGAAACAGAGGGACCTTGGAGTTTAGGTGCACAGTTCTCTGAAAGTGGAGTCACAGGTAGACAGGGCAGTGAAGAAGGCTTTTGGCACACTGGCCTTCATTAGTCAGGGCATTGAATATAGAAGTTGGGAAGTTATGTTGGTTGTACAGGATGTTGGTGAGGCCGCACATGGAGTATTATGTTCAGTTTTGGTCACCTTGCGATAGGAAGGATGTTATTAAACCGGAAAGAATGCAGAAGAAACTTAGAGATGCTGCCAGGATTCAAGGGACTGCATTATAGGGAGAGGTTGGACAAGCTAGGACACTTTTCCTGAGAATGTAGGAGACGGAGGGCAGATCTTATAGAAGTGCATAAGATCATATGAGGCATGGATAGGGTGAATGCACTCAATCTTTTTCCTAGGGTTGGGGAATCAAGGACTAGAGGGCATCAGCTTAAGGCAAGAGGGTAAAGAATAAATGGGAACCAGATGGGCAACTTTTTTTTAAACATAGCGGGTGGTATGCATATGGTATGAACTGCCAGCAGAAGTGGTTGAGATGGGTACACTAACAACATTTCAAAGGCATTTGGATGAATACATGGACAGGAAAGGTTTAGAAGGATATGGGCCAAGTGCCAGGAAATTGTTCAGCATGGACCAGTTTGGGCCAAAGGGCCGGTCATCATGCTGTAGGACTCAATGACTCAAAGGGGTGATTCATTGGAACTTTCCAAGATATTCAGGGAATAAACAGAATAGGTAAAAATAAAAACTTTTCTGTCAGCGAGGTCTAGGGAAATATAATCAACAAATTAGAGCCAGACCTTTCAGAACGAGTAGCAGGGAACACCTCTACATGCAAAGGTGATAGAATGTTGAAACTCTTTCACAAATGGCATTTAATGCAATATCTCTTGTGAATTTTAAATTAGAGATTGAGGGACGTTCAAAGTAATATGGAAGAAAGCAATATGGAATTGCAGATCCCCTCTCTGAACAGAACAGAATCGGGGGCTAAATGGTTTCCTCCTGTTCCCATGTCTCCAAAACATTGCCTGTTGGAAGTGGGAATGGAACACAGGACTTAGGAATCAGCCATTTGGCCCTATGAGCCTCCTCCGCGATTTAATAAGATCATGGCTGATCTGGTTGTCATCTCAGCTTCACTTTCCAGTCTTTAACCTATAGTCCTCAGTTCCCTTGTCTACAAAATATCTATCCATCTTGGCTATGAATGAATTGAAAGGCCCAGACTCCACTACCTAATGGGGAAGAGAATTCCACACCTCAGCAATCCTTTGAAAGAAAAAATATTTTGCAACTGTCTTAAAAGGAGGACTGCTTATTCTTCTTCTATGTCTGCTTGTTCTAATCTCCTCCACTAATGAATACACTCCCCTGCTATCCTCACAATTTAGTCCCTTCAAGATCATGTATGTTTCAATAAGATCATCTCTCATTCTTCTAGATGTCCACGGATATAGAACCTGTTCAACCCTCCTTCATAAAATAAGCCCATCATCCTACAAATGAGTCACATGAACCATCTCTGAACTGCTTCTAATGCAGCTAGATATTTTTTCAAGTTAAAAAAACAGGGTCTCTCAGTACTCCAGATGTGGTCTGCAGATGTGGGTTTTTTTTCAAAATGTCAAAGTAATTCTGGTGTAACCTAAAAACATCAATTCCAAGAAAACAAGTGACTGGAACAAAAGCTTAGGAGAATTCCTGGAATAAGATAATTATACTTTTGGGTTTATGACAGGTAGTGTAAACACATTAAGCCATTAGTTGTATTTTCAGTTCAGCTCAGAAAACAGAATTTCAGATGTTCAGAAGTGTTTAGTTTCTTTCCTAGCAAGTTTTAGTTCAGAGGAAATCAGTCTTTGCAGCAATGTTTCGTTTTCTAGTTTGTGAAGTTTCCAAACCAGGAAAATTTGGGCTGGAAATCTTCACATTGTTAGAACTGAAAAAATTTTTGACCATCAGACCTGTGGATGGTTCACACCAAAAGACTCAGAGGAATCGCAAACGTCTGTGTGCAGCTCCAAAAAGGGAAACTGAGTCAGTTCAGCAGAAACTTAAAGAGTTACAGTAGGAGTATAATTTATCTGGACTTGAGTCTCTATAATGGACTGTACTGGGAAACAGGTTGGAACTTTGCATACGATACATGTAGCTGGGCTTGTTTGTTTCTTTATATGTCCTGATGTTATCGGGCATCTGCAGCCTCATGGGAGTATGTTTTAGTAACCAAAAGCCATATTAACTAACTGCACAACACAACATTAAACACATGATCAATCATGCCAGGTTTCATTCTGGGATGTGACTTGTATAGCTGTACCATAACGGGCAAATTCCAAACAAGCACCATCTACAAGTTTGCTGACAACACCACCATGGTAGGATGGATATCAAACAACAGAAAGGAGATTGAGGGCTTGGCATTATGATGTAATGATAACAACCTCTCTCTCAACGTCGGCAAAACAAAAGAACTGATCACTGACTTCAGAAAGAAAGGAAGAGAACACGCCCCCATCTACATCAACGGGGCAGGAGTTGAGAACATCAAGTTCCTAGGAGCAACAACCGACCACCTGTCTTGGACTTCCCACATAGATATGATGGTCAAGGAGGCACACGCCTTTTCTTCCTCAGTTGGCTTAGGAAATTCGGCATATCCATAAGGACCTTCACCAACTTTTACAGATGCACCACAGAAAGTATACTAACCGGGTTCATAACGGCTTGGTTTGGAAAGTGCGCTGCCCAGAACCATAGGAAACTACAGAAGGTTGTGTGCACAGCCGAGACTATCACAGAAGACAACCTTCCATTTACATTTCTCGTTGCTGCAGAAAGGCTGCCCTCCTACCCCGGTAATACTCTCCTATAACCTCTCTCATTATACAGAAGCCTGAACACACACACTCCAACAGGGTCAAGAACAGCTTCTTCCTTGCCGTTATTTGACTGATGAATGGACCCTCTAACTTCAAATAATGTTGATCTTGATAATGTTGATCTTGTTACGCACACCTTCTGGGTGATGTAACCTGTATGCCTCACTCTGTTTAAGCATCCTATGATCTGCCTGTAGAGCTTGCAAACGAAGCTTTTCACTGCACTTAGGTACAATAAATCAAACCAAATCAAATAACACACCGCTACCCATCCCAATGGCCAGATACTCCCACACCATTACCTGCCCCAATGACCAGATACCCCCTCACTGTTATCTGCTTCAATGACTGGACACTCTCTCACCTGCTGTATAAAGCACAGTTGCGTCGCTGTGAGCAGAACCTGCAAGTCTGTTGGTCACTGATGATGGGAGGGAGTGCTGCAGCCTTGGTGTCAGTATTCTTTGATGCTGGCCAGATAATACCATTGGTTAAATAAAAGACCAGCTGGTTCCTTAGCTTCAGCAGTTCTGTGACAGAATCAAAACAAAAACTGTTTTAGCAAAATGATTGCTTCCCTGTCTGGTGATTTCAGCCCACTGCTCTGCTGCTGGAGAGCAAAGTTCCCTCAATACTATCCCCATCAAACACTCCCTGGACAGGGACAGCACAGGGTTAATAGAGTAAAGCTTTTCCCTTTTCAAATAGCTAGGCCATGTTCAGCCTGGGATTAGATATTGATGAAATCATCACCCACATTGTCCCCATCAAACACCACCAGGACAGTTACAGCATAGGGTTAGATCCAGAGTAAATTTTCCTCTACTTTTTTAAACTGAAAATAAACTAAAAGTAAACATCCTCAACACTGTCCCCATCAAACTCTCTTTGGAGAGGAACAGCAAGGGGTTAAATACTTTTTAAACTAAACGTAAACTGAAAATAAACTTCCCTCAACACTGTCCCCATCAAACATTCCCAGGACAGGGACAGCACAGGGTTTGATACAGACTATTCCCTCAACTCTACTTTGAAAATAGCAAGTCGAAAATAATAACAACGAAACAGCCCCTGGCTGTGGCACTGTATCAAAATCGTCATAACCCAACAGTTGAACAGAAGCTTATAGAATCAAACAGAAACTTACAACATTAAAATAATGCTGTCGAGGGTGATGATGCACCCCAGACCCCTGCAGTGCCAGTCGTCCTTAAAGGCCTCTATTGTGCTGATGAGCACCACTTGCTCCCTCTCCAGGGACACCTGAGCGCAGATGTAGTTGTGAAACAAGGAGGAGACAGTCAGGAATGAAGAGCCCCTATGTAGCCCACTGCCTCAACCTGTTGATGGCCACTTTGGCCTAGCCCAGGACCAGAGCCACGAGAGAGCCCTTCAACCTGTCCACTCCTCCCTGCACCAGGTGTCCATAGATCAGGAGGGTGGGAGTTAAGTGCAACCCAAATTTCAGCAGCCCCTTCAAAATACAAAAAAAGGGCTACAAACAAAAACATTCTACACAACGTGAAACACTGCCTCCTCCAGGCCACAAACACGACATGTGGTCTGGCACCCTGTGAACTTACTGAGCTAACGATTACACAAGTCTGCCATGCTTAGCACTTCCAAATCCAGATATCCATCAGAAAAGGGGAACACCCCTTTGTAAAGGGCCCTCTACTGGAGATCTCTGCTGTTGGAGGACAAAACATCATACCGAGGCATATCCCAGCAGTGGGCGAAGGTGGAGAACAGGAGAGTGTGCAGCAGCAGCAGCTTGCACAGAAAACACTTCCGTGCCATTTGAGCCCACTGCTCGACACTGTCTGCTCTGAATCTGAGATGAGTGCCCTATAGTCAGTAGCGCAGTGAAGCTGCCAGGATGAGTGCCCTGCAGTCAACAGCACAATGATGCTGTCAGGATGAGCACCCTGCAGTCAGCAGTGCAGCAAAGTTGGCAGGACGAGTGCACTACAGTCAGCAATGGGACCACCTTTCATTACTTACGTCCTTCCCTTATTAGATCTCTCAAAACTGCATTATCGGGATTAAATGTCATCTCCCATTGTCCTGTTGATTTACAGCTAATCAACATTAGACTGTAGCCTGAGACCATCCTCCTCAGTATAAATGACACCACCAATTTTCGTGTCATCTGCAAGCTTTCTAATTAAACCTACATTCACATCCAAGTCATTAATGTAAATAACAAACAGCAAGGGTCCCTTCACTGACCCCTGTGGTACACCGCTAGTCACAGTTACAAAATTCCAATTACAACAGTTACACAGTTCAAATTACAAAAACAACCCTCCACCAACATCTGTTTCTTCCTATTTGAAAGCCAATTTTGGATCCAGTTTGCCAAATTACCCTGCATTCCACGGGCTCATACATTTTGGACCAGCCTCCCATGTGGGACCTTGTCAAAGGCCTTACTGAAGTCTGTGCAAACCACATCAACCGCACTACTCTCATCAATATATTTAGTCGCCTTTTCAAAAAACTCAATTAACCAGGCAGGATCTCCCTCTAACAAATCCTTGCTGACTATCCATGATCAATCCCTACTTTTCCAAGTGTTGATTAATGGTGTGCATCAGAATTTTTTCCAATGATATCTCTACCACTGATATCTGACTAACTGGTTTATAATTACCTAGCCTATCCCTGCTGCCTTTCTTGAACAAAGGAACCACATTAGGTATCCTCCAGTTTTCTGGCACTTCACCTGTGGCCAGCGATGTATTAAGTTCTGGAACTTCACCATCCCAACTAAATTCCTGGCTACAATGTCTTTCTGCTCTGTGAATATAGGTGAGAAATATTCATTTACAACCTCACCCATGTCCACTGGCTCCACGCACAGGTTGCCCCTTTAGTCTCTAATAGGTCTCTAATAGGTCCCACACATTCGCTGGTAATCCTCTCATTCTTAGTACAGTATACCGTTAAAAGGTTAGAGGCTTTCTTGATCCTATCTTTTTAATACACTGCACCTGACATATGTTGCCTTCTTCCTCTTTGCATAACTCTCAATATCCCTTCACATCCAGGGTTACCTGGACCTGCTGCCCTTGCCCTTCACTCTTAGAGGAACATGCTGGCCCTGAATTCTCATTATACAACTTTTAAAAGACTCCCACTTTCCAAATGTAGACTTACCTGCAAGTAGCTGCTTCCATCTGGGTTTGCCAAATCCTATTTAATGTAGTTGAAATTGGCCCTCCCCCAATTTAGACACTTAACTTCTGCACGAACCTTTATCTCTTTCCGTCATAACTTTGAAACTTAGTTATGGTTACTATCCCCAAAATGCTTACTCACTGAAATTTCAACCACTTGACCACTTAATTCCCTAGGACAAGGTCTAGCACTGCCCCATCTCTGGTAGGACTATCTACGTACCGGCACAAAAGTTCTCTTGGGTGCACTTTAATTTTCTACCTCGTATGATCCTTTCACACTAAGGCAATCCCAGTTCATGTTAGCAAAGTTGAAATCGCACACAAATGCAAACCTGTTTCTCTCATCACTTTTCCATGATTTGCCTACATATCTGTTCCTTCATCTCTCGCTGACTGTTGGGAAGCCTATAGTATAATTCCAGCATGGTAATCAGCCCTTTTTTTATTTCTAAACTGCACCAAGATCGCCTCATTTGAAATCCCTTCTACATAGTCCTCCCTCATTACTGCAGTGATTGTTCCTCTTAACAATAACGTAATGCCTCCCTTCTCTTATGAACCCCCAGCCTGCCTGAAACTTTTACACCCTGGAATGTTGAGCTGCCGGTCTTGTACTTCCTTCAACCATGTCTCAGCAATTGCAACAATATCGTATTCTCACATTGCTGATCAATGCTCTAAGTTAGCAATCAAGCTTAAAATAGATACAATTTAGCTTCCCGACCTCCTATTTACATAATCCTGCTCATGTCTTCTTCACCTACTGGACTGCTTTGGCATTCCTTCTATATCTGATTGGTCTATGCTCTTAACTTTACATCTACTCTGTGCCCCATCCCCCTACCAAATCAGCATTATGTAGGCAAATTCAGAGAAGAGTAAAAGTAATCAGGTAGTGATTGTGAAGAATCTTAATTTCCCCAACATTAACTGTAGTAGTCCTTGTGTGAAAGATTTAGAGGGACTAGAACTTTTAGAATGCATCAGGAAAGCTTTATAAGCCAACTTCCAGAAAGCCCTAGTCCTGAATTTGGACTTCATTTTGGGTAATGGTTGAAGCATCAACAGGGGAGCATTACACAGACAACAAATCATAACTTCATTAGATTCATGATTGTTGTGGAAAAAGATAAGCATGGGCTTAAAACCAAACTTCTAAACTGGGGGGTGGATGGGTGGGTGAGGGAGGAAGGCTGCGGTGGAGAGCCAATTTTAATAAGATCAGATATGATTTGGCCAGAGTAGACTCGGAGTCAATACTTTTAGTTAAGACCATGGGGACACATTCAAACAAAGAGCGAGAGTACAGAGTCAGCATGTTCCAGTACAGACATCAAATCCTGTAAACCCTGGATATAAGAATCGACAGGATTAAATAAAAAGAAAAAGATACCAAGGACTCAAAAATAAAAGCCATAGGGGAGTCTAGATATTGCACATGGAAACTTAAAAAGGAAATTAGGAGAGCAAAAAAAGGGCATAAAAGGATAACAGCATGTAAAATAAAGAAAAATCCTAAGTTAGTCTACAAGTATATTAAGGGTAAAAGGATAACTAGGGAAAGAGTAGGGCCTATTAAGGACCACAGTGATAATTCGCGTATGGAGTGGAAAATGTAAATGAATATTGTGCGTCACCGTTCACTAATGAGAGGGGCGATCTGGGTATAGAAATCAGGGAGAAGGACTGTGATACAATTAAAGAAATTAGCATAGACCAAGAGGAGGCTCCAAGTGGTCTGGCAGGCTTAGAGGTAGATAAATCTCCATGGCTGGAACAAATGTGTAAAAACGAAAAGAACTGCGGATGCTGTAAATCAGGAACAAAAACAAAATTGCTGGAAAAGCTCGTACGTCTGGCAGCATGTGTGAAGAAAACAAAAGTTAAGGTTTCCGGTCCAATGCGTCACAAGCGGTTGAGTGAGACAAAGGAGGAAATAGTGGGGGTGCTAACAGTAATCTTCAATTCTTCTCTGGGCACAGGATAAATGCCGGAGGACTGGGGGACAGCCAATGTGGTACTGTCATTCAAGAAGGGGGCAAGGGATAAATCAAGAGACCACTGGTCAGTCAGGCTAACCTCAGTGATAGAATTGCTTCCAAGAGTTTCCCCTAAGAGACAGAATTAATCTGCACAGAGAGGCAGGGATCATCAAGAACATTTAGCATGGATTTGTTGAGGTGAGGTCATGTCTAACCAACTTGGTTGAATTTTTTTGAAGAGGAGACCAGGTGTGCAGACGAGAGCAATGCATTTGATCACTTGAATTTCAACAGGTTTTTGCTAAGGTGCCACATGGGAAGCTGACAGTAAAAGTAAGAGATCATAGGATCCAAGGAAAGTTGGCAAATTAGGTCTAGAATTGGCTAAGCGGCAGGAAGCAGAGGATGATGGTTGAGGAGTGTTTTTTTTTGTGACTGAATCCTGTTTTCAGTATGGTTTTGCAAGGATCAGTGCCAGGGCTCTGCTATTTGTAGTGTATATAAATTATTTAGACTTGGAATGTAGGAGGGTTGATCAGTCAGTTCGCAGATGATATAAAAATTGAGGGGTGGTAAATGGTAAGGCAGCTAGCCTTAGACTGCAGGAGGATACGTAGACGAGCTGGTCAGATGCGCTGAGCAGTGGTAAGTGGAATTCAATCCAGATAAACAAGATGACGCACTCGGGCAGGACAAACAAAGCACGGGAATACACGATGACTGGGAAGCACTGGAGATCATACGGACCTTGGTGTGAATGTATACTAGTTCGTTAAGGTATCAAGGCAGGTGGATAAAGGCACATGGGATACTTGCCTTCATTAGCTAAAGCATAGAGTTTAAGAACAGGGCAGTTACACTGCAACTGTATAAAACATTGGTTGGACCACAGCTGGAGTACTGTGTGAAGTTCTGGAATCCATATTGCAGGAGGGATGTGACTGGGGTGCAGGGGCAGTGGGGGCAGGGGATAAGATTGTAGATATTTTAAATTACTAAAGGGAGGCAGGGAGGAACATTTCCCTTTGGTGTACAGATCAAAGACCAGGGGCATAGATTTAAGGAAGTGGATGAGAGGATGGTGGGAATCTGGAACACCCTACCTGTAACAGTGGTAGAGGCAGAAACCCTCATAACAGTTAATTAGTATTTAGATGTGCACTTGCAATGCCAAGGCATACAAGGCTGTGGGCCAAGTGCTAGAAAATGGGATTTGTATAGTTAGGTGCTTGTTTTTGACTGATTCTGACTCGATGAGCTGAGGGGCCTTTTTCGGTGCTTTAGACCTCTATGACTATTTCTCAATGTAAGGTGATAAAAGTATTGTAAAGGAAGTAAAGTTAAGCCTTAAAGGTTTCCAAAGACTTCTAGTAAGGATGTTGCATTGCAGCAGGAGTATCTGGAGTAAAATAAGGTCCACAGCATTAATCAGCACTCTTTAAAGACAATAACTGACCAGCTTAATCTAAAAGGAAATCACAGCAATGCAGCTTACATGTGATCATCTTGTGCTATGTGGAAAGTCATGGATACTTCCAGTGTCCCCAGTAACCACACAGCTAACAGCATTTTGGAACTGGATGAACTGGTGGACTCGCTGTGGAGCATCCGCAATACCAAGACTGCCGTGATGTGGAGGTGCTGGTGTTGGACTGGGGTAGTCAAAGTCAGAGGTCACATGACACCAGGTTACAGTCCAACAAGTTTATTTGAAATCACAAGCTTTCATCCACCTGATGACGGAGCAGTGCTCCGAAAGCTCGTGATTTCAGATAAACTTGTTGGACTATAACCTAGTGTTATGTGACTTCTGAAGATTGTCGTGCACAGCCTGTTCAGTACGGTGGTCACATCACAGGTAAAAATTGAACAGGCAGAAAACAGACTAAACAGAGTAGAATAAGGTAGGTCGTACAGAAGTGCCCTGTGCCTGTTCCCTTCTCTAATATGTTTGGGGTCGGGGAGGGTGATGGACCTCTCAGTTGATAACTTCACAAATCAGGTCCATGGCACCATGGTTGGCTCTGGTGAAAGGGGAGGAAGAAGAATGATAGAGTTTTGGTGATTGGAGATCCAGTAAAGGCAACTGACAGGCATTTTTGCTGCGAGACACACACTCTGGGATGATATATTATCTCCCTGACACAATGGTCTAGGATGCATTGGAGTGGCAGCAAGGTACTCTGAAGAGACAAGGTAAACAGCCAATGTCTGTGTACATGTCCAGAGATGAGAGGTTTGTCCTATGAAGAGAGATTGAGCAGCTTAGGCCTATACTCTCTGGAGTTTATAAGAATGACCGAAAATCTAATTAAGGTGTACAAGATGCTAAAGGGAATAGACAAACCAGGCATAGAAATGTTGTTTCCTCAAGTGGGGCAATCTAGAACAACAGGTCATTGGTTTACATCTACTACCCCTTATCCTAAAACTGAGATGAGAAGAAATTACTTCTCTCAAAGGGCCACAAATCTGTGGAATTCACACCCCCAGAGTGTAGTGGATGCTGGATCATTGAGTCAATACAAGGAGAAGATAGACAGATAAAAGGGCGTGGAGAGCAGGCAAGAAAGTAGAGTTGAGGCCAAAAGGAGATCAACCATGATTATATCAGATTGTGGAGCAGTCTTGAGTGGCTGAATTGTTTATTCCTGTTCCTAGTTTTTATGTTTTATATTAGTATCAACAACATAGGTTATTAAAAAAAGGACGAGATTTTACAAGCAGAATATAGGGTGTCAGGACATATACTGAAAAGTAGGATCTCAAAGATAATCCTGAGATTACTAACAGTACCACATGCTAGCAAGCATAATACTAACAGCACATACTAAATGAATATGTGGCTGAAGAAATAGTGTAGGAGCTAGGAATTCACATTCCTGGGACATTGTGACCAGTTCTAGGGAAGGCGGGATCGCTACAAGTGATACGGGTTATATCTGGACTTAAACTAGAATGGCAGAGAGGTGGGAACCCGAGCAAGGAGACAGGAATCTGAGCATGGAGACAGAGAAAGAGAGAGAAACAAGGATAGAAACAAAAGAAAGAAAGGCTAGAAACAAAAGTGGAAGGCAGAAAAAAGTGGGAGTCTTTGTGCAAAATAAAGCTAAGATAACTAACAAAATTCAAAAGGCAAGTCAAAAAGTTTTGTATCTTTATGCACAGAGCAGTCACAATGAGATAAATGAAGCAGCATCACAAATAGATTTCAACAGTTATGATGTACTTCCCAATTAAGACAACATGGCTGCAGGGTGATCAAGGGTGAGAACTGAGTATCCAGGGGTATTATTTAGGAAGAATAGACAACGAAGGGAAAGGAGATGGAGTAATATTGAATAAGACCAATGAGAAAGGATATTGGCTTGAAAAATCTTGATGTGCAATGGGCACAAAAGTGGAGAAAAGAAACACTATGGGGCAGAAAAAATTGTTGGGGATTGTCCACAAGACCCCAAACAGTAGTGGAGATGCAACAGAAGGATTGAAGGATGTATGCAGCAAGGGTACAACTGTAATCATGGGTGACTTTAATTTACATATAGACCTGCCAAACCAAATTCCCAACGGTGATGTGCAAGGGGATTTCCTGGAATGTGTATGTTATGACTGTTTAGACCAATACATTGAGGAACCAACCAGAGAACAAGCTGTTCTAGACTGGGAACTGCACAACGAGAAAGAATCGATTAACAATCATTTTGTGTAGGGTCCTTTGGAGAAGAGTAACCAAACGATACAATCCTTCATTAAGATGGTGAGTGAAGTAGTCAAATCTGAAACTCAGGTCCTGAGTCTAGACAAAGGGAACTACAAGTCATGAATTACCAAGGATGGATTGGGAAAACCATACTAAATGGGTTAACAGTGAATAGACAATGAATATGTATATGAACTACAACAATTATTCATTCCTATTTGTTGCATAAATGAAAGAAACCATGGTTCAACAATGGCTTACAAACAAATTACGGATAGTTGTAGATTCAAAGAGGAAACCTATAAAATCGCCAAAAAATGCAACACACCCGAGTTAGGGCATATTTTAGAATTCAACAGAAGACAACAAAAAGCTTGAGTAAGAGACCAGTGGGCAAACTTAAAGCACATGGGATAACATGGGTTGACAATTGTTTGAAAGAGAAAAGAGAGTGACTTTAGCACAAGAATTGTTACTCTGCCCTCATGTCATAACATGAATAAAGTGAAATGCTATAAATTGGGGTTGGTGTAGCAAGCTACATGCTTACAAATCCTGCTTTGCCACTGATGTTTGCACCAGTCTCCATAAACGTTACCATTCGTGCCATTAAAATGAAACTAACTCAAAGCTGTAAACTTTTACAGTGAGCACATTCTGTAAAATGAAAACCTGTCATTGCCCCAGAAGTCAGCAACTTTAACATAGATAAAATTGGCCTATTCCAGTCCTTGGAATCAATACCATACCACACACCCAACCTCAGTTCTTTCCAAGTCCTTGATAATTAACACTTACTGTTGCCAATTATGTCAGGCTAGTATAACGTCTCATCCTCTTTTGCTGATTTTATCCATCTACTGTCGAGGATCATTGCCTACTGGTTCTAATTTCATGGACAGCTTGGTCAAGCAGCCAGTGGTCAGCTGGAAGAGCCTCATGTCTTGCCCTGATCTCTGCATTCATCTTTCAAGAGCCATGTCACTGGATCTCCAACTACTCCACACCAATTCTATCCATACAGTAAACCTACTACAACAGAAAAATCTCAAACTGACGTAAATAACCTAGATGACCCAGGTCTGATTAAAGTCCATGCCAGCTGGATGCCTGAGCTCTGAATGCCAGCCACAATTACATTTGGAATAGCACACATTTCACCATCTCACAAAAGCAACAGCCCAGTAATCTTTTAGTCAAAATTCCACAATACCTCTCTTGTCCATATGATTTCCTGGTACTGGATGCATGGCACCAGTTTTGAGGTACAAGAGAAATCCAGCTTCAGGATCTTCCCTGCGTTCCTGGCTCAGTAAGGTGTACAGAATTACCTGGAAAAAAAAAGGGTAAAAATTTACCCCTGCTTATTGGTTTTCATAGTTGACCAAACTTCTTTTTAATTCATTCATCATATGTGGGTGTCACTGGCTGGCCAGCATTTAATACCCATCTCTAGCTGTCCTTGAGAAGGTGGTCGTAAGTTGCCTTCTTGAACTGCTGCATTCCATGTGCTGTAGGTTGACCCAACAAAGCCCAATATTTCAATCTAGTAAAAATGATGGAACGGCAATATATTTCTAAGTCAGGATGGTGAGTGGCTTGGAAGAAACTTGTAGGTGGTGTTGTTCCCATGTATCTGCTGCCCTTGTCCTTCTAGATGGAAGTAGTTATAGGTCTGGAAGGTGCTGCCTAATGATCTTTAGTGAATTGCTGCAGAGCATTTTATAGGTAGCACACACTGCTGCCTGAGTGTCAATGATGGAAGGAGTGGATGCTTGTGGATGTGGTGCCAATCAAGCGGGCTGCTTTGTCCTGGATGATGTCAAGCTACTTGAATGTTGTTGAAGCTGAACCCATCCAGACAAGTGGGGAGTATTCCATCTTACTCCTGACTTGTGCCTTATAGATGGTGGACAGACTTTTTGGGGGCTGGTCAGGTGATGAGTTATTCATCACAGTATTCCTGGCCTCTGATTGGCTCTTGTAGCCACCACGTTGGCGAGTCCAGCTGTGTTTCTGGTCAATGTTAACCCCCAGGATGTTGATAGTGGGCAATTCAGAGATGGTAACACCATTGAATGTCAAAAGATGTTGGTTATATTGTCTCTCATTGGAGGTTGTCATTGCCTGGCATTCATGTGGTGCGGATGTTGCTTGCCATTTTTCAGCCCAAGCCCAGATGGTGCTAAAATAAACTTCAAATGCTCAGTACAAATGTTTACATTTATTTCATAAGTATCAAATATCAGAAGTTTAAAGGGTGATTTTTAAGATATGAAAATGAACAGATAAAGCAGAGAAAGATTACTTCCCAACCAGTAGAAGTTGGTTAAGAACTAGGGAGCACAGTCTAAAAAAGAGACATACCTTTCAGGAATGAAAGTGGGAAATGTTTTTATACATTTATGGGATATGGGTGACCAGCATTTACTACCCATCCCTAACTGCCCACAGGGTAGCTAAGGGTCAACCACATTGCTGTGGGTCTGGAGTCACATTTAGGCCAGACCAGGTAAGGATGGCAGATTTCCTTCCCTAAAGGACATTAGTGAACCAGATGGGTTTTGTAACAATATCATTAGATTCTTATGTCCAGATTATTATTGAATTTAAATTCCACTATCTGCCATGGCAGGATTCAAACAGAGGTCCCCTGAGCATTATCCAGGTCTCTGGATTAACAGTTTAGAAAGTAACATCACAATGTCATCATCTACGCTATTTTCACACAAAAGCTATAAGTTTGGAACTCTGCCAACTGATGATTGATTAGTGATAGTAAGAACTGCCAATGCTGGAGTCAGAGAAACACAATGTGGAGCTGGAGGAACACAGCAGGCCAGGCAGCATCAGAGGAGCAGGAAAGCTGACGTTTCGGATTGGGACCCTTCTTCAGAAATGGGGCAGGGGGAAGGGAGCTCTGAAATCAAGAGAGAGAGGAGGGGTGGGGCCAGGGAAGGTAGGTGGGAGGAGCGGATAGGTGGGAGAGAAGACGGACTGGTCAAGGAGGGGGGTTGGTCATGGGATGAGGCCGGGGTGGGGAGATTTTGAAACTAGTAACGTCCACATTGAGACCATTGGGTTGTGTGCTCCCAAGGCGGAATATGAGGTGCTGCTCCTCCAGTTTCCGGGTTGCATCATTGTGACAGTGGAGGCGGCCCAGGGTGGCCATGTCGCCCAGGGAGTGGGAGGGGGAGTTGAAGTGGTTCGCGACTGGACGGTGTTGTCACAGAGGCTCGAAGACCGCTTTGTAGAGCACCTGCGCTCTGTTCTCGACAAGTCTGGGAAGTGGCAATTTGAGTGAAATATTGGAATAATGAATTTTAAACACCTGCAGAGCACTGTGGAGTTAAATGGACTGTTTCCATGCTGGAGATTCTACAGCTCTTGAGTCAAAGTGATCCAAATCTTATCGGAATCCCACAGATCTCTCTGAAGCAGGATCTTGAGATAGGAATGCGAAACAAGAACCACAGTATTGCTTTGTTCATACCTGACTAGTGAGGTGCATAGGAACTTTACCCGTGGCCAAAGAGTCCAAGACAACGTCAGTAAGCTCTTGTTTCTGGGCCTATACATTATATGCTGCTACCAGTCTCCATAAACATCTCTTAGTAGCTGATGCTTTACCTCTGTGGGCTCCCCGATTGGCAAAGATTTCTCCTCCACCAGCAGATATTGATCAATGAGGGAGTAAAGTTGACCTATTCCCAAGACTCTCAAAGTTTAAACACTGAACTAACAGATGAAAAATAGATGCAAATTATGCCAATTTTGTGGAATCAATTCACCCCTTATCCCAAGCCCAACTTCAGAGTGGGTAAGATGACTTGTTAAACATTAACAGATGTAAATAACATGCCTAAGACTTGTTTCAGGCTCCTTTTGTTAAATTGGCCGGAGCAGAGAGAAACTCAGAAATTCAGTGTCCCCATTCCTTGAATTCTCTCCACCCAACCCATCTACGGAAATGTGAAAACTACCTGAAAATAATGACACACCAATGACTGAGAAAGCCCAATCAATTTCAGATTATGCACTCAAACACAACTCAATCAAACTCTAACTAACTTGGGAGAGTGGGAATTGTGGATGATTCCACAGATAAAATACAGTAAAAATAATGCAAGTGGCAAACAGCAGGAGGATTTTCTGCAACACATCCAGACTATTTTCCTCTTAATGAGGCCCCACTGGATTTTCGAAATGAAATGGGACAAGTAACAAGGATCTCACTGATAGCAAGCAGAATGCAACTGAATTCAAAATTATAAACAGAAAAGATGAAGATGAAGATAAAATCTGGAAAAAGGCAATTTTGAAGAGTGTTAAAGGGAACCAGCCCAGAAAAATTTGAAAGCCAAAATATTGGCAAATAGGGTTGAACCACCTCCTAAAAGAAGGAAATGAGTCTGCAGCAAAAGTTGGAGTTCTTCAGATTAGTGGAGAAATAAATGAAACATAACAAACATGTGTCTAATAAAGGATCTAATGAGATATTTGATATTTTAGTTTTAATTTTCAAAACCACCTTCAATTTTTGGAAGGTCCCATGAGACTGAAAGATAGCAAGTGTAACTACTTTATTCAGCAACAGAAGGAGACAAAAAATAAGGAATTTAGGTCAGTTAGCTCAACATCTGTCATAAGGAAGATGCTATTATTAAAGAACTTTTAACAGGGCACTTAGATAAGTGCAAGGTAATCAGGCAGAGTCGATGCGGTTTTGTGAAAAGAAATCATGTTTAATCAATATACTGAACTTCTTTTAGGAAGTTACGTATTGTGACTAGGCGGAACTGATGGATAAACTATACTTAGACTTCCAGCAGGCATTTGACAATGTACCACATCAAAAGTTATGGTGAAGAGAAAAAGCCAAGTGTAAGCAGTGGCAATTTGAAATGAAAGAAAGATCAGCTTGCTAACAGAAAGCAGACAGTAGACATAAACAAATCTTTGTCAGTTGGCAAGTTGTAATCAGTGATGTACCACAGGGACTGATGCTAGGATCTCAACAGTTAGCAACTTACATAGAGAGTTGTAGCGATGTACAGCACGGAAACAGACCCTTCGGTCCAACTCGTCAATGCCAACCGGATAGCCTAAATAAATCTAGTCCCATTTACCAGCATTTAGCCCTTATCCCTCTAAACCCTTCTTATTCATATAACGATCCAGATGCCTTTCTGAATATTGTAACTGTACCAGCCTCCACCAGTTCCTCTGACAGCTCATTCCATTCACGCACTACCCTCTGCGTGAGAAAGTTGCCCTTTAGGTCCTTTTAAAATCTTTCCCCTCTCACCTTAAACTTGTGCCCTCTAATTTTGGACTCCCCCACTCTGGGGAAAAGACCTAGTCTATTTACCTTATCCGTGCCCCTCATCATATTATAAACCTCCATAAGGTCACCCCTCAGCCTCCAACACTCCTGGGAAAATAGTCCCAGCCTATTCAGGCTCTCCCTTTAGCTCAAACCCTTCGCTCTGGCAACATTGTAGTAAATCTTTTCTGAACACTTTCAAGTTTCACAACATCCTTCCCATAGCAAGGAGACCAGGACTGCACTCTGTATTCCAGAAGTGGCCTAACCAATGTCCTGTACAACTGCAATACAACCTCCCAACTCCTATATTCAATGCACTGACCAATAAAAGCAAGCATACCAAAACGCCTTCTTCACTATCCTATCTACTTACGACTCTACTTTCAAGGAACCATGAAACTGCAAGGTCTTTTTGTTCAGCAACATTCCCCAGGACCTTACCATTAAGTGTATAAGTCCTGCCCTTATTTGCCTTTCCAAAATCCAGCACCTCATATTTATCTAAATTAAACTCCATCCGCCACTCCTCAGCCCATTGGCCCATCTGACCAAGGTCCTGCGGTACTCCACTGTCCACTACAGCTCCAATTTTGGTGTCATCTGCACACTTACCAACCTTCTGTCTTCACATCCAAATCATTTATATAAATGACGAAAAGCAGTGCACCCAGCACTGATCCGTATGGCACACCGCTGGTCACAGGATTACAGTCTGAAAAGCAACCCTCTACCACCACCCTCTGCCTTCTACCTTCCAGCCAGGTCTGTATCCAAATGACTAATTCTCCCCATATTCCATGTGATCTAACCTTGCTAACCAGTCTACCATGTGAAACCTTGTTGAACACCTTACTGAAGTCCATATAGATCATGTCCACCACTCTGCCCTCATCAATCTTCTTCGTTACTTCTTGAAAAAACTCAATTAGGTTAGTAAGACATGATTTCCCACGTACAAAGCCATGTTGACTATCCTTAATTAGTCCTTGCCTTTCCAAATATATGTAAATCCTGTCCTTCAGGATTCCCTCCAACAACTTACCACCACTAACATCAAGCTCACTGGTCTGCAGTTCCCTGGCTTTTCCTTACCACCTTTCTTAAATAATGGCACCATGTTAGCCAACCTCCTGTCTTCCTGCACCTCACCTGTGGCCATCAATGATACAAATATCTCAGCAAGGGGCCTAGCAATCACTTCCCTAGCTTCCCACAGAGTTCTAGGTACACCTGATCAGGTCCCGGGGATTTATCCACCTTTATGCGTTGTAAACCATCCAGCACCACCTCCTCTGTAATATAGACATTTTTCAAGATGTCGCTATTAATTTCCTCACGTTCTATGTTTTCCATATCCTTCTCTACAGTAAACACTGATGCAAAGTACTTGTTTAGTATCTCCCCCATCTCCTGCAGTTCCACAGAGGCAGCCTTGCTGATCTTTAAGGGCCCTATTCTCTCCCTAATTACTCTTTTGTCCTTAATGTATTTGTAGAATCCCTTTGGATTCTCCTTAACCCTATTTGCCAACGCTATCTCACGTCCCCTCTTTGTCCTCCTGATTTCCCTCCGAGGTATACTCTTACTACCTTTGTACTCTTCTAGGGATTCACTTGATCTCTGCTGTCTATGCTTCCTGCTTTTTATTGACCAGAACCTAAATCACTAGTCATCCAGCATTCCCTACACCTACCAGCCTTGCCCTTCACCCTGACAGGAACACACTGTCTCTGAACTCTTGTTATCTCATTTTTGAAGGCTTCCCATTTTCCATTTGTCCTTTTACCTGCAAACATCTGCCCCCCAATCAACTTTTGAAAGTCCTTGCCTAATACCATCAAAATTAGCCTTGCTCCAATTTAGAACTTTGACTTTTAGTCTATTCTTTTCCATCACTATTTTAAAACTAATAGACTGAAGGTCACTGGCCCCAAAGTGCTCCCCCGCTGATACCTCAGTCACCTGCCCTGCCTTAGTTCCCAAGAGTAGGTCACATTTTGCACCTTCTCCAGTAGGTACATCTACATACTGAATCAGAAAATTTTCTTGCACACGCTTAACAAATTCCTCTCCATCCAATAATTGACTTGCTTCAGGAGACAGGATGCATAATTGCCAAATTTGCTCATGACGCAAACATAGATAGGAAACTAAGTTGTTAACTAAGTTGAACATAAGAAGATTACAAAAAGATTAAAGACAAAAGATTATCGGAAGCAATTCATTAACAGACTAACAGTTATTATGCATGTGTAGTCGTAGGAGGAAAGGTTTGACAGGCTATGTTTGCACCTGTTGGTATTTATAAGAATAGGAGGCAACTTGATTGAAACACAAAAGATACTGAAGGGTCTTGACACGTTGGATGTGGAGACAATGTTTCCTCTTATGGGAGAATCTAGAACGAGGGCTCACCGTTAAAAATTAAGGGCCATTTATTTCAATCAAATATGAAGTTAATTTTTTCCAAGGTTGAGTCTTTGGAAAGCAGAGTCCTTGAATATTTTTAAGGCAAAGGTGGGTAGATTTTCGTTAATCAAGATGATGAAAAATTATTGGCGGTCGGTGGGAATGTGGACATGAGGTTACCATTACGCCATGATCTTATTGAATAACGCAGCAGGCTTAAGGGGCAGAATGGCCTGCTCACTGCTTGTATGGTCATATGGAGAAAGATTGATGGGGAACATTAGAGGAAATTGGAAATAGATCATAAACAAAGCACAAAACACAAAGTTCAATAAAGGGCCAGTTACAGCTGAAAAAATATCTTTGCGCAGATGATTAATGCAGTTCGCAGAGACTAAAGAACATGCAGGTTCTTTTCGGAAATAAAAGGTTTGAGGTAAGGTGCCATGCAAGAGCATTTCAACAAAATGAAGACACATGCTTTATGAGGGAGTGTGACAGCATTTTGGAAAGCTGCTTAAACAAGCAGAAAATAGTGAGCAGTGGAGTGGGTTGGAGTTCGCTTTCTTTCTTCCCCACAGTTAGAATGACTACCTTCAGGAACCGCTCCCCCAACAAGAGTCAGCATCTTCGGGAACTGCATCCCAGTTAGAGTTGGCACCTTCAGCAGCCATCCCTCAGCGAGAGTCAGTGCCTTCAGCAGCCATACCCTAGCAAGAGAGTCAGCACCTTCAGGTACTATTCCCCCATGATGCTGAGCCACGTACCTGACTTCTGTGCTCCACTGAATTAGATTCTTTCCCAGTTTTAAGCTCCAAAGGCATGACTTTAGTTTGTGTCCTGGACTGGCGGTGAATTTTAACAGAAGCTGTTACATCAATCTTGCCTTTTAATCCAAACCTCGGGGACCAAATATTCTCCTCAATGTCTTCAATATCAAGCACTGTGATGCCACAGATTGATGCCAGTCTGGATGAATTTCTGTCACTGGGTCTAGGAAAAATATTCAAGTAATTTACATCATACTTTGGATTGCCATCACTCTTTGGAAATCAATGAGAGGGAATCCGTGGAGGAGCAGGTGTGCAAGAGTGCGCGTGCCTATGCATGGGACATGCGGTGGTACGTTGCAGGGAACTAATACCAGCAAAGAGAGGTGGTTAGGCAATGAGGGGCAAGTAGCTAAGTTAATAGTAGATAGAAGAGAGACACTGGAAAAAATACAAATTAATTTTCGAAGAAGAAAGGCACGTCAATTTCAGCGCTCTCAGTTCAAGAAAAAAACAGAAATCCCAAATTTCAAATGGTTATAACAATTTACAGTAAAGACAAGGTGTTGACCTGATGAAAAGTCAACTCTGGTTGACCAAGGAATTGTTATCATCTGAAATTTGCCATTCTTATCGTTGTCCCAATTAGTGTGAGGTAAAGTGCTGCAGCAACAATTCTCCCTTTTAATCAATACTTAAACGGCAATGTGAGGGGATTGGTCACTAAGGAACCACCACAGCCAATACAGGGAATCTAGCTGGAGATAAACCAGCTAAATGACATCTTCATCCAGTAATATCATGGAGTTCACTGAATCTACAGAACTAGAACCTGATCACAATTAGAACCTGATCATAAAGCATGGTAAATGAAAAAGCCCTGGGGAAAATTGATGCACAGAGAGATCTGGGTGTTCAGGTCCATTGTACCCTGAAGGTGGCAACGCAGGTCGATAGAGTGGTCAAGAAGGCATACGGCATGCTTTCATTCATTGGACGGGGTATTGAGTACAAGAGTTGGCAGGTCACGTTACAGTTGTATGGGACTTTGGTTCGACCACATTTGGAATACTGCGTACAGTTCTGGTTGCCACATTACCAAAAGGATGTGGATGCTTTGGAGAGGGTGCAGAGGAGGTTCACCAGGATGTTGCCTGGTATGGAGGGCGCTAGCTATGAAGAGAGGTTGAGTAGATTAGGATTATTTACACTAGAAAAACGGAGGTTGAGGGGGGGCCTGATTGAGGTCTACAAAATCATGAGGTATATAGACAGGGGGGATAGCAAGAAGCTTTTTCCCCAGAGTGGGGGACTCAATTACTAGGGATCACGATTTCAAGGTGAGGGGGGAAAAGTTTAAGGGAGATATGCGTGGAAAGTTCTTTACGCAGAGGGTGGTGGATGCCTGGAACGCGTTGCCAGCGGAGGTGGTAGAGGCGGGCACGATAGCGTCATTTAAGATGTATCTAGATAGATACATGAATGGGCAGGGAGCGGAGGGATACAGATCCTTGGAAAACAGGTGACAGGTTTAGATAAAGGATCTGGATCGGCACAGGCTTGGAGGGCCAAAGTGCCTGTTCCTGTGCTGTAATTTTCTTTGTTCTTTGTTCATTAAAAAAATTAAGAGCAGGTTGATAAACAGTTAAACAGACACAAGATCCTGGGCAACAAGGTGAGTGTATGAACACCAGAGACCATTTGGACAGAATGATCCTGCATAATTTAATTTCGATTGCATGTATTGCGCTTACTTAATGTACCAACCCCTATATACCATGTTTAATAGATGTGGAACACTACGTACAGTTTCAGCTGCAATTGCTGTATGCCGGACTGAGCAGAATTATCCATGAAATCTTGAGCCCAGGTCACTAACGATGGGAGGTAATCGCGTACTGCTTGCATCATATCCGCTTGACTCAGATTCAAACTGTACCTGCATTTCAAAAACAGCTCAAGATCACATCAGACCAAAGATGTCCCTCATAGCTCAGTGAATTAATCCAGTGAGTATCCCCAAGGGAGAAAGAGACGCATTAATTCGGGTCTGGATATCTAATTGCCTTGACCCAGTGGAGGCCACTCCCGAACTGCTCTGACCCAGAGAATATTAAAGCTTCACCCATTACCAAAACAAAGCCAGAATCTGCAGTGAATATTAACCTGCAAACAGATCATGAAGCAGTACTCATTGGACCACCAACTGCATCAACAACAACTGTGAATGGCATGCATGATGCTCACCACAGGAATTTCAAAGCATTTGAATTATCAGATAAAACACACCTAAAGCCACTAAATCCTTCCAGAAATCTATACAGCACAAAAATTGATTATTTGGCCATTATTTCTGTGCTTTGCCTTTGCTTAAATAGTCTAATATTCGCGTGGGTTTAGAAAATATTTCTCAACCTGTCTTGATCAAATTAGACTCCTTCAATTTGAAACCATTAGCAAGACTAGATAATCTAGGAAGCTAACGTGGACAAGAAAAATTATAAATCAGTAAATGAGACATATCTTTACCAGCAAGCATGGCTATTCGAATGTGTTCCTGATCAACTTCATAACCTCCACATCGTTCAGTTCATTCAAAACTCTGCTTTCCATATCTCATCCACTGGCACCTATGCTCGTTGATTTGCACCAACCTATCCAACCCCATCATGGCTTTGACAATCACATTACGCTAACCAAAAACATCCTGAAGAATAGTCTCCTTCTTAACTATACCCTTTCTTAAATCTGCCTGTCCCCCTTCCAGTTCCTACCTACCATTATTTGGAATACCCTACCAAAAAACCGCTACCATCTCTTTCTAAGCTCTTCTCTTACACTTGATCAAAACAGTTCAAGCTATTTATTTTTCATTTAGTGTCATTCGTGGTTTAGTCAGCCTCTTGGGTTTTAATAAAGTTGTTCAGCAGTGAAAACCTGGCCTATTCTGCTAGCTTCTAAAGTCAAGCAACATGCTATGAAGATATGTTTCTATTCATTCACGTTTTTGTAGACATTACATACTTCAGCAATTTACCATATTATCAGGTAGATACCAGAGTTGTTGCAGTACTAGCGTATCTTGGCCAGGGATCATCTAGTTCTGCTGCATAAGTGTGCAGTACTATTGCTGCAACGTTGTCAGGACTCAGCTTTTGTAGTATCCTGTGCCTTCAGTCATTTCTTGATATCATGCGGAATAAATCATAATTGGCTGACGACTGGCATCTGTGACACTGAGGAGATCAGGAGGAGACTAAAATGGACCACCCACTCTGCACTTCTGGCTGAAGATGGATGCAATGCTTCAGCCCTCTGCGACAATAAATGATTCAGTTCAAATTAATTCAAGAATGCCCACACTCAAAAAGAAATTCATCGACTATCCCAAGGATGTGACAATGTTTTATTTCAATGCAAGTTATCACAATTTTTTTGCAAAGCACGGACTTGTAGGAGAACAGTTCCATAGTGTCAGCCACTGTGGCCCAATACTAGATACTGAGGAATAGATGCTCTTTAATTGTGGTAGGGGACTCACAATTCATTTGTTCTGCTATCTGGGGCTCACCTAACAATCAAGGAGGAGCCCAGGTCATTTTCTCTCCCTCACCACAGGGATGAGCACACATGTAACAACTTACCTGGTGCCATAGTTGACAGTAGTTCAATAAACGAGAAATCAAACTGTGACTTCTTGGTCCATTAGCTGAAGCAATATCCTCATCCACTTAGCCAGGAATGGAAGCTGAGCTTCACATCTCAAGGCCCCAGATATAGAAACTATACTTAAGCTTAACAGCTCAAAACATTTCCACTAATATTAAAAGAAATTAGACAAACATTGCTTACATCTCTCCCAAGTACTTTTGGGAATATACTGTTTGAGAGGCCACTTCTTCCAATGCATTCTGAGTAAATCTGTTGCTCATTGCTGCTTTTTGAAAGATCTCATGAACCAAAGTGCCAACTAACATCTGTTGCGTTCCCTTTTCACAGGCCTTCAAAACAAAAGCAAGGAATGAAGATATTAATCAAAAAATGCACAAAGGTCCATTATTCAAAGCACCACACCAGTTGGTCAGCACAACACCTTCAGATGTGACAACACAATGAAACATTCAGAGTTCAAACTGTGCGTAACTTAGAATATACAGTTCCATTACTGACCTTACAACTGTTCAATCTAGAGTGAGTTATGATGCTAAACTCACCACAGCAATCAAGACAATGCAGGGAGAAAACAAATCTCAGAACAGTGAAAAATTTATAGGAACAGGAACAGTAGCCAATGTTAAATGCCAATCAGGACGCAGGAGTCTGTCTTCCACTGTTTATTTGCATTTCTTAGTTCAATACAAACTCCAGTCTGCTGTCTCCCCTTCCTGGGGAAAACCAGCCTTTAGGTATTTGCTCTAACACACATCAGCTGCTCTCCATTCTCTCCAGGGCATGTCCTGCTTCATTATTAATAATTATAATTTGCAACATGAGAGGGCTGGATGAATGTGAAATTAATATAAACTTCATATAGTATTGGAAGGTCGTCAGATAGAAATTCATATTATGATGTAAACTGTGGGACTTGAGTGTATAATTTTTCATTATATTTGGGATGGGTACGGGTCTTTTTTCGTTAGCAACAGATGGATGGTCTGTATGTCTGAAGTTAATGGTTAACCTGCAATTATCTCCATAACCATGCTGATTTCTTTTGAAAACAGCTTTTAAAGCCTAGCTGTAGAGTGAATGGATTTGTGCACTAATGAACTTTTGTTTATTTTAGATTGTTTGTGACTTAGCATGTTAAATAATGAGGCTGCAAAGGTTTACTAGCATCTGGAATCTGTTGTTTAAACTTAAGGAGAATGCCCATAACTGAGCAACTTTGAGTTTCACTTTTAATTTTTGATAGATTTTTTAAAAGTTCTCAGAAGACCTTAGAACAGGATGAACAGCAGAGTTCCTGAGAAGGGAACGACAGATTTAGTGAATTAGATTACCTTGGAGAGAAGGGTTAATGAGAGTACCAGGAATAAGCAATCAGCAGCTCGACATTAAAAGTTAAAGTCACAAGAGACAAACTTATTGAGCTGCTGGATACAGGAATACTGACAAGTATTTTAAGAGTGGCGATTTCAGAAACTTGTCAGTATTCCCTTTTGTTGATAAAGCAAAATCTGCAGCATCGTATACTCATGCTTCAATGAGAAGCCACATGGTTAAACGAAAAACAAATTAAATAATGTTTTATATGCTGGGATCAGACTTCTCCATTAACATAGCTAGGATCATAATTTAAGCAGGACACCATCCTTGCGTTGGGAATTTATACGAATGGGTACTTTCTGAAGGTTGAGAGATTGGGGAATTTATACAAACAGGCAGGATTCCAAATACAGGGAATTTCAAGAAACTGGGTTAGTACCCAAGGTCTGGAATCAAGGTGTCTGCTGGACATGTATGAAAAGCACATAATGGCAGTAATGGGACATATGAACATATGACGGAGGAGCAGGAGCTCCTTAAGCCAACTTTACCATAAACAAGATCATAGCTAATCTGATCGTAACCATAAATCCATATTCCTGCCTGGCCCAAATAACTTTCCACTTCCTTGCTTAACAAGAATCTATTTATCCCTACCTTAAAGAAAAATCTCTGCTTCCAACTCTCTTTTAGGAAGAGTTGAAATTTTGCCCCATCTCAATTATAACCACTGGCTTGTAAATTAAGAGGAAATACCTTCTCAACACCTACTCTGTGTTTTCCTCCTTGTTGCCCACATGCACACAGATACTCCCAAGGTCCAAGTGCCATTTCCAGCAGTGACGTCCAATTCCAGAAGTCACTGTCGCATACAGACCCTGGAGGTCTATGCAGAAGGGCAAAATAAATTGGCAGGAATGCTGCTCCTCATGATATTGCATGTTTCCATCAAGTCATCTCTTACTTTTCTAAACTCTGTGGATAAAAGCCTAGCTCTCCAACCTTTCCTCATAAGACAACCTGCTCATTTCAGGTATTAAGTCAGGTGAAACTTCTCTGAACTACTTCCAATGCATTTACATCCTTCCATGAATTAAAAGACCAGTTCTATACACAGTACTTCAAATGTGATCACACCAATGCCCTGTTTAACGGGGCTCAAAGCTTATTGCACACTCCCTCAAACGAATATGATTTACAAATCTCACCTTAAATCTCTCATTCAACACAGCCTTACGCATGCAACGGATGCTGTTTGCAACACTAGTCCCAGAAATAAGGTGATCTGGGCTCACAATCAGGTACCCCTTTTCCCTGCTTACTACAAAGGTATCAGAAGACTTCTCTCCTTCGACATAGACCGTATCCCCGACTTTGACCTCAACAGTGTCCCTGAAAAGGATAAGAGTTTGTTAAAATGCATCTAAATTCACTCAAGAACATTATATAGACGTTTTAATATGATACACTGTGAGAAGGTACTTCATACAAAACAAAGTTATTTGAGTTAATATTAGGGAAATTGGGTTGATTAAAAAGCTAAATTTTAAGGAGCACCTTAAAGAAAAAAAGAGAGAGTCAGGTACAAGACCAAGAGGTTAATGGAGGGAATTCCACAGCTTAGGACCTAGGCAGCTAAGGGCATGGACAATAATAGAATAGTTAAACTCAACAATGCTCAAGAACCCTTGATAAGAGGAGTGTTGTTACACACAGAAGATTAGAGAGTTAAGATGGGATATGGGCATGAAGCCACTGCGCATGGACACAGAAAATCTGCACGTACAGGAGACGGTAAAAAAGCCTTAGCTCCTTACCAGTCATCCTTCAGAACACATTGCTGGGTGTTGCTGCAGCCGTCAGTGCCCGTTTGGCTCGCTGTGATTGTCAAGTGTTTTTCTCGATCAGCACTAGGACTGAGGACTTCATTCACCAATACCACTTGGTACCGACCTTTGCACACACTTGCAGCAGCATTTAAACACTTCTCACTGAAGATGGAAATAAAGAGGACAATCATGTACAATTTTAATTATACGAGTGAAAAGCCACGCAGTCATCATAAAACTGTTTTTCCAATGACCTGAGTAAATACATCGTACAGTGTACTTAGACAAGAAGAACACCAGGATCCAAGTTTTAGCCCTGAAATGCAAGGCCATTCAGAGGTTACTCCAAAAACTCTGGGCTAGGAATACCATGCTACCATTCTAAATCAATATCCAGTAACCTGTGATAAGTCACACATACCCTGTCCAAGTTATGACAACATACTCAAGTCTCAGCAGCACCCCAAAAATTAATGCCTTTAGAAGCAAAGGGGGAATAATACACCAAATAGATGAGAAGTTTCATAGAAGTCCACAAGCCCTATACAAACACACCTCCATCATGCAACAGTAGCACTCTTTCATGTAAAGAAATTATGGCTTGAGTGGCACGGTGGCTCAGTGGTTAGGACTGCTGCCTCACAGCATCAGGGATTCAACTCCACACTTGGGAGTTGGCACATTCTCCCTGTGTCTGAGATAACAAGGTGTAGAGCTGGATGAACACAGCAGGCCAAGCAGCATCAGAGGAGCAGGAAGGCTGACGATTCGGGCCTAGACCCTTCTTCAGAAATGGGGGAGGGGAAGGGGTTTCTGAAATAAATAGGGAGAGAGGGGGAGGCGGATAGAAGATGGATAGAGGAGAAGATAGGTGGAGAGGAGACAGACAGGTCAAAGAGGCGGGGATGGAGCCAGTAAAGGTGAGTGTAGGTGGGGAGGTAGGGAGGAGATAGGTCAGTCCAGGGAGGACGGACAGGTCAAGGGGGCGGGATGAGGTTAGTAGGTAGGAGATGGGGGTGGGGCTTGAGGTGGGAGGCGGGGACGAGCTGGGCTGGTTTTGGGATGCGGTAGGGGGAGGGGAGATTTTGAAGCTTGTGAAGTCCACATTGATACCATTGGGCTGCAGGGTTCCCAAGCGGAATACGAGTTGCTGTTCCTGCAACCTTCAGGTAGCATCGTTGTGGCACTGCAGGAAGCCCAGGATGGACATGTCGTCTGAGGAATGGGAGGGGGAGTTGAAATGGTTCGCGACTGGGAGGTGCAGTTGTTTAGTGCAAACCGAGCGTACGTGTTCTGCAAAGCGGTCCCCGAGCCTCCGCTTGGTTTCCCCAGTGTAAAGGCGGCCACAACAGGAACAGCGGATGCAGTATACCACATTAGCAGATGTGCAGGTGAACATCTGCTTGATGTGGAAAGTCTTCTTGGGGCCTGGGATGGGGGTGAGGGGGGAGGTGTAGGGGCAGGTGTAGCACTTCCTGCGGTTGCAGGGAAAAGTGCCGGGTGTGGTGGGGCTGGAGGGGAGTGTGGAGCAGATAAGGGAGTCACGGAGAGAGTGGTCCCTCTGGAAAGCAGATAAAGGTGGGGAGGGAAAAATGTCTTTGGTGGTGGGGTCGGATTGCAGATGGCGGAAGTGTCGGAGGATGACGCGTTGGATCCGGAGGTTGGTGGGGTGGTACGTGAGGACAAGGGGGATTCTGTTTTGGTTGTTATTGCGGGCAGGGGGTGTGAGGGATGAGTTGCGGGAAATGCAGGAGACATGGTCGAGGGCATTCTTGACCACTATAGGGGGGTAAGTTGCGGTCCTTGAAAAACGAGGACATCTGAGATGGGGAGCAGATGCGGCGGAGGCGAAGGAATTGGGAATAGGGGATGGCATTTTTGCAGGAAGGTGGGTGGGAGGAGGTGTATTCTAGGTAGCTGTGGGAGTTGGTGGCTTGAAATGGATATTGGTTTCTAGGTGGTTGCCGGAGATGGAGACAGAGGGGTCCAGGAAGGAGAGAGAGGTATTAGAGGTGGTCCAGGTGAAGTTAAGGTTGGGGTGGAAGGTGTTGGTGAAGTGGATGAACTGTTCGAGCTCCTCGTGGGAGCACAAGGCGGTGCCGATACAGTCAATGTAACGGAGGAAGAGGTGGGGTTTAGGGCCAGTGTAGGTAAGGAAGAGGGATTGTTCCACGTAACCTACAAAGAGGCAGGCATAGCTTGGGCCCATGCGGGTACCCATGGCCACCCCCTTGGTCTGTAGGAAATGGGGGGAATTGAAAGAGAAGTTGTTGAGGGTGAGGATGAGTTTGGCTAAGCGGATGAGGGTGTCAGTGGAGGGGGACTGGTCGGGCCTGCGGGACAGGAAGAAGCGGAGGGCCTTTAGGCCATCTGTATGAGAATGCAGGTGTATAGGAACTGGACGTCCCTGTGTCTGCATGGTTTCCTCCCACAGGCCAAAGATGTGAAGGTTAGGTAGATTGGCCATGCTAAATTGCCCATAGCATCCAGGGATGTGTAGACTAGATGGGCTATCAATGGGAAATGCAAGGTGACAGGGAAAGGATAGGGGGTCGGGGTCTGGGTCTGGGTGGGATGCTCTTCAGAGAGGTGATATGACTCGCTGGGCTGAAATGGCCTGCTTCCACAGTGTAGGGATTCTACAATACCACCGCACCTTCCATTACTATGATTGACAATAGACTAAATGGGTGGGTAACTTGCTATCTAAGGGGCCCAGAACTTGTCCACTGTGTCTGCATTTTACTTTATTTATCTTTCTCTGCTTTTTCTTAACGTTCCCATTTATTATCTTATCTTTCTCAACTTCTTTGGCAGAAGGCATCTTCTCCCAGCCTGGGCCCTGCAAGGAGGAGGTTTCTAGCCCAACGTGGTGGTTTTGGCCTGACGCATTGGTCTCCCATTGTGGCAGTGTCCAGGTTTGGCGGTGCTGTCCCAACGTGAAGGTCCCGTTGGTGTAGAGGTCTTCTTTGGCAGTGGCAATGGCAATCTTGGCCTGTCCCCATTTGTGAAGGTCTTGTATTCTAGCCGGGAGTGGTGGTCCCCCACTGTGGTGGCCTTGTCCTGGAGGAACAGACTTGGCTTGGTTTGACGTGGTGGTTTCCACATTTGGTGATCTTGTCCCAGCACAGAGGTCTCATCAATGTGCAGATCTTCTCTGATGGCAGCTTCCAGGAATTCTAGCATTCATTGTCTTAATTTTTCCCTGAACTGAACTTGATCCAAGATGAACTCTCAATTTTTTTTTTTTTACTTTTTTCTTCTGTGACTTCTGTCATTAATACAGGCATCATGCCATGGTGACTTTTAAAACATTTCACTATTTTCTTCTGTAAGAATACACGTGACCATAAATTATTATTCTATTCTGAACTAGATGGGTGGATTTGTCCAGTTTTCCTAAGCAATTTACCACATCATCAGGTCCAGTTCTAGAGCACAAGTCTTAAACATGAATAAAAACCAAAGAATTGCGGATGCTGTAAATCAGAAACAAAAACCCAAATTGCTGGAAAAGCTCAGGAGGTTTGGCAGCATCTGTAGAGAGAAATCAGAGTTAACATTTCGGGTCCAGTGACCCTTATTCAGAATTGATGGCAGCCAGTAAAAATGTAGGTTTATATGCAGAAGATAGGGTAGGGGGAGGGGCTAAGGAGTAAGCGATAGGTGGAGATAGAGCCCAAATAAAGAGAAGAGCAATTGGAAAGACAAAAGAGTAGATAACGATCTGGCTAGAAGGGTGAACAACTGTTAATGGGGATTGCAGGTCGCTAACAATAGGTAATGCATAATGGTAGACTATGTGATGACAAGGCCAGGTGTGAGGGGTAGGAGGCTAGAACATGGAAGAGTTCAAGCCCTAAAATTACTGAACTTCATATTAGAGTCTGGAGGGCTGCAGAGTCCCCAAGCAGAAAAGGCGGTGTTGTTCTTCCAGGCTGCATCCAGCTTCACTGGAACACTGCAGCAGGCCTGAGACAGAGATGTTGGCCAGGACACAGGCTGGTGTGTTAAAATGGCAGACAACTGGAAGCTTAGGGTCATTTTTGAAGGGCAGAACGTACATGTTCTGCCGAGCGGTCACCCAGTCTATGCTTCATTTCCCCAATGTAAAGAAGACCACATTGTGAGCAGCGAATGCACAGACTAGATTGTGTGAAGTGCAGGTGAAGTGCTGCTTCACTTGGAAGGATGTTTGGGCTCTTGGACACGGAGAAAGGAGGAAATAACGCCTGTCCACTTACACCAGTGGTTGTGGGAGAAGGTGCCGTGGGGCTGTGGGAGGGTATTGGGAATGAAGGAAGAGTGGACCAGGGTGTCCCGATGCAAACAGTCCCTGCGATAGGCAGACAAGGGAGGCGGTGGGGGAAGGGAATATGTGCCTGGTGACAGCATCTCACTGGAGGTAGCAGAAATGGTGGCTGATGATCTTCTGGATGTGGATACTGGCAGGACAAGGGGAACTCAATCACTGTTGTGGGAGAGAACAGAAAGAGTGAGGGCGGAAGATGGATCGGACTTGGCTGAGGGCCCTGTCGACAATGTTCTGGGGAATCCTCGGTTGAGGAAGAAGGTGGACCTTTTGGAGTCTCCCTTGTCAAAGCTGGCCTCATCAGAACATATGCGACAGAGATGGAGGAACTGGAAGAATGGAATGAAGTCATCACAGGAAGCAGGGTGCGAGGATTTATAGTACAGGCAGCTGTAGGAGTCAGTGGGTTTATAGTGGATACATGTGCCCAGTCTATCCCCAGAAATGGAAACAGAGATGTCGAGGAAGGGAATGGAGGAGTCAGAGATAGATCAGCTGAAAAATGAGGGCAAGGTGGAAATTGGAAGAGAAATCAATGAACTTTTCCAATTTCATATACGTCCTCACCCACATGCTCAACTATTTCTCAATATCCTGAGGAGTAAATTAAATGATACAAAGACTCCAAGGACAAAATACAGCACAGAAACTAGCCCTTTGGTCCAACTCGACCATGCCCATCAGATATTCCAAATTAAAATAGTCCCATTTGGTCCATATCCAATGTCTTTTAAATGCTGTAATTGTACCAGCTTCTACCACTTCCTCTGGTAGCTTTTTCCATATACAAACCAGCCTTTGCATTAAAAAGCTACGCCTGAGGTCCCTTTTATATCTTTCCCCTTTCACCTTAAACCTGTGCCTTCTGATTTTAGACTCCCCTACCATGGGGAAAAGACCTTGACTATTCACCTTATCCATACCCTTCATGATTTCATAAAGTCTATAAGGTCACCCCTCAACCTCTAATGCTCCAGAGAAAATAGCCCTAGCCTATTCAGCTCAGAACCTCCAGCCCTGGCAATATCCTCGTAAATCTCTTCTGCATCCTTTCAAATTTAACATCTTTCCTATAGCGGGGAGACCAGAATTGAACGCAGTATTCCAAAAGTGCCCTAACCAAGGTCCTGTACCACCGCAACATGACCTCCCAACTCCTCTACTC